ACTTGTAAAAATAGGTATTGTGATTGGCATCGAAATTGATGCTAATGCGCATCATCAGCTGATTAGTTGATTGTTTGTTTATCGTGAACGATAATCACAAAAACTCGAAAGAGAGAGAGAGAGAGAGAGAGAACAGGAAAGAAAAATTCTTCGCTTCATCAACGAACGAAGAAGAGATGGTGGGGAAGGGTTAGCGGGTGTTAAACAACCGCGTCGCGAAAAAACTTGAAACCTTAATGAACCTGCGGACCAACCTTTCCTCTCTTCGTTCTCTCTAACTCGGTCTTCTTTCGTTTGTCGTCCGTCTTCGTCCATAAATGCAGTCCATTTTCTTTAGAAGCGCAATTACAAGGACTCAACCAGACGCAGCGTGCGCGCGAGATCGTTTCGTATCGGCTCTCTAATTACCGTCACTCTGAATTCTCGTTAAAGTACTTTCTTCTCCCTATCTTATATAGAAAAAAAAAAACGTATCTTTTCGAGGAATTTCATTTGCCGGGTTGGTACATCAACGACTACCGGTCGCAGTTATATTTTTAAATCAACGAATCCGCAGGTGGTCCCCATCGCCGAACGGCTCGCGAGTATTCGCGACGGGCGAACGCAGTTAATTTTTTGCACGCACTCTTAATGCATCACTCGACGCGCGCAGCTTGTCATAATATAGCATCATTTATGAGAGATACGACGCAAGTATCAGAAACGTAAACGTTCCACGATTATTTTGGATAGAGGTTTTTTTGTATCTCTTTTTTCTTCTCTTGATATGTGCATTTTGCGAGCGATAAATCTGTGTTTTACATTCATCCAAAAAGAGGAAGTGCATCATGATTCAAATTAAAATTCTATTTTTTTTTATCGTAACTAACGTCAAAAACGAAATCCTTCTATATGGAATACAATTTCATAAAATTACGATTCGTAAATTCGAAAGCTGGTTTCTTCGATTTCTGTTAATTTAAGGTCGAAAATTTTTATACCATGATATAATGATCGAAATACTCACGACGAGAAAAAGCCGACCGATAATATTTTTATCGGATCATCAATGGTCTAATTTTATTCCAGTTTATTCAAAAAATAGGTTTCTTGCTCCGACACGGAGTCGAGGCAGATGGCACCGTTTGCCGAGATAGCGCTGATTTATGACACGCCAGTGGGTTAAAACGGGTTTCGATTCGAGTGTTATGAGGGGGTGGGGAAACGTAGATTCAGGAAAGAAGGGAACCTAATGATTCTTCAGATATCCATTTCATGCCCATGGGCGAAGATCTAATCGTCCACGGCCCAAAAATACCGAGTCTCTACCGAAAGATATACACTCATATACGAACGCAATATATCATCGCAAGTTTACAAATGTAACGTAATGTAACCCGAAAATATTTAGGTAACTACCAAGAGAAAAAGAAGCGATCGGTGTCGACAAACGTGACTCGAAAGATTTTCTCTATGCCGTTAAAGTACTCGCGTGTAACCAAGGTTCCAACATGTTTCCAATTACTTTTCTCGTACTCTAAATCCTGTTCGAACATCCGTAAGATATCGTGGGAGGAATAAAAATCGAAGCGAACGTAGAAAACCGGTTCGCCGCCCCACCATCGAGTAACACCGCACTTTATTCTTCCAAGGATGAGCCGAAGCAACTGACTCTGACGTATCTCCTTTGAATAACTCGTATAATTTCTATAATTGCAGATGAACCAACAGTGCAGGGTATGCGACGAGCCCGCAGCGGGTTTTCATTTCGGGGCCTTCACGTGCGAGGGTTGCAAGGTAAGAAGAATCACGACCAAGTTTTCTAAGTAATGAGACCGTCGGATAAATCCAGATTACATTTTGCGTACGCGGACTTTGTGACGTGACGCCGAGAATTCACACGACGACGTCCCGTCACACACTCCGTTCATTGTCGAGCCGCAAGTTATGTAACATTTGTGATGCAAATTCTACACACTTTAAAGAGCAACGCAAGCGTAATTACGAGGCAATTCCGTCGCATTTTCAAGTCTGTCTTCGTATTTCGCGAAATTATAACATAAACTTCTCGCAACTTCTCGCATAGTTGAGAGAAAATCGGTACAAGGTTGTACGAAAAGATGAAGAAATGTGTGAGAAAAATACATCAATCTTTACATAAGCTTCTAAAAAATTAGGCGAAACTATTTCTCTAAATAATTGCACTAGGAACATTAAACTACTTTATAAATTTATTGTTCTAAACACCAAGCGTATAATAACTTTATTAAAAAAATAAATAAACAAGCAATAAAAATTCAGTTTTACAAAAAAAAAGATATACGAAAAAATAAGTAACAATTGTAACTCTGTTGAAAAGAATCATTATTGTGTCTTATGCAAATTTTGAATATTTTACGAATAATATCTAGAAGATTTATGAATGAATAAGATAATAATAAAGATAATAAACTCATTATCTTTTTGATATATTTCGATAGTGTCTAATTCCTATTATTAATAAAAAATATAATATAATATAACATAAAATTTAGGAAAGAAGAAATAAACATTGATTTCTAGAACGTGCGATTTTGATAAGGAATGTAACGAAGTGAGACAGTGATTTATTACCGATTCGTCTTCGGAAAGACAATCGTCGGCAAAAAGCGGACGGAAGTAGTTTCTACGCGATATTAACCTGCTGCGAGGACTTCGCAAAGTCATAAAAGTCGATACGCTGGCCATGAGTTGACGTATGTGATGCGTGTACGCGTTTCGCACTCTAGTTTAAAGAAGAGGCAACTTAATAAGCCATGACGGATGCGAAAACGAAAAGGCTGCGATGGTAGAAATACGTGGTAATCACGGTCAACGAAAAGAGGTGAGAAAGTCTGATATGTGGAAAAGGCGAGCGTGTGAGAAGTGGCCGATGAAAAAAATCTTCTGCCCGGTTCGAATCCGTAAGTGGACGAGAGACTCGAGCGCAACCAATCGATTATATCGGATCGTCCTCGTTCGGCAATGTTTTGCGCTGCGGCGAATCGCGACGACTCGTCCCGGAAATAACGACGTATCGATTGATAACATATCTCGAAATATTATTGCGCCGCTATGTGCCATTTTTACAACAAAAATCGCGAAATAGAAATTGATTTGACTTTTTCTTAAGGCTGCCCTTACTCTGTTCCGTGAATCGTGATAATTTTTGTAGTCTCAAAATTTTACAACATTGCAAAATAAATCCTCCCAAAATAAATCAGATTATCTCGAGAGACCAGGCGTGCCTATTTTCTTGGGATAAATATGGGATGTGCATAAGAGCGAGAAGCTACGAAAGGAAGGGTCGCGGTTCACTTCCGCATGTCGGACGCGAGGATCGGCACGGTAGGGAGTAATATTCAACAGGTGGATTCCAGGTTGCGCACGTGCAACGGAATGCGTATGCCTATAGTGCGCAAACACGCACATATCGTACCGACAAACAACGACGACGACAACGACGACGACGACGACGACGACGACGACGACAATCGCGTCTCGTTAGGCCGCGCTTAGGTCTAAGAAGGGGTATTGACCCTTGCTCTCGTCCTCTCGTTCCACTAATGTGATATACCGTGGAATATCAGCTCGTACTAAGTAACCCATCCGATAGTAATTGGACCTCATTAAGGCAACAACAGGTTTTCTTTTTTTACGGTTTGTCTGTTGAATTTCCCAGAGAGACAGAACAACAGATAACACGTTTCGGATCAATTAGACTTTTTTCTATGAACTAAAATGAGTCGAATTTTAAAAAAGAAAACATATCATCGCGCTAGAGATTGGATCTCCAGAATAAAGGGGCGGTTATGTAACTTAACAGAATTTGTCGAAAATCTATCGTAACTTTCTTGCAATATTTTTAAATAACGGTATCGAATAAATTAAACTCGATTTTTATCGCACGAGTAAGATTTCATTATATAAAATTAATCACGAATCTTCGGACGATGAAACCAATTCTTACACAATTATACCCATTGATTATCGATCCACGATATAGTTATTATCACTCACTCCGTGTAAGCGAAATTAATTGTTATCCCGCGCCTCACGTGTAATTAATAATCACGAATGCTTTGATATGATCGAAATGCGAAATACGGAAATTAATATCGTATCATGTATGTCATTTTGATTATATGACTATATACCAGTGAAAAGGGACGCCATACGGATGCTCTCCATGGAGTTTCGATGTTATCGCGAGATATATAACGGCGCCATCGTGATCCTGATATAGAGAGAACAGGAGGATGAGGAAGAAGAGGAACACGAAAGTAGCGAGAATTAAAAATGGACGATTTTTCATACATATGAATATACACTTACACGCACCGAAAACGAACGTAATATCGTGGAATAAGAGCCACGATATCTAACTCGAAGTTGATCCAATCTTCTCCTCGCGCGATAAACATTTGAAAATATTTGAAATAATTTAGCAGACGCGTACCGTGGTCACGGACGGAGAAACGAGGGACACTCATTAGCATACTAACGACTGCCTCGAATTCTCTGCGTAACATTGAGAAAAGGGCAACTTCTTCTGTCCCCTCCTGTTCTGTTTCGAACACACGACAACGATGGCGACGACGACGACAATGACCATGGCGATAATGACGATGACGACGACAACTATAGTTACTTTGCTCCACGCTCCGAATATTTCCCAATAGCTTTCTTCCATTTTTGTGTGCCGCGTGTTTCGCAAACTTACAAAAGATTAAAAATAACATTTCTCGAGCACGTATCAAGAGCGCGTCGATTATCGCGTGATGATATTATTCAAAGTCGTTCTCCGCAATTATAAAAATAAGAAATCTTTTCGTCAATTGATGCCGACACGCGAGATAAATCTCAAAGAAATGAGACGAATCCAAATGTGACTAGTGGAACAAATGTAAAAGTGAAAAGCTTTTGCTTTTTCTCAGTAACGAAAGATGTGCCGTGGCTAATTGTATCATAATTTAAGGAACTCGTGCGTCGGCAGTATGCTCTCTGTTTTATGTATTGCTTCTTCCGATGTCGTCCAAATTCTGTATTCGTCGTTCTGGACGCGTTCAAATAAAAGACAGTCAGGTCATTTGAAGGCCGAGCGTGAAGCAGAGCCGTAGGCAGGATCGCCAAAAAGACAGCAAATCGCAGTGACGCGTCGCATATGAATGCGGTCCGACCTGGCTCGGACTCTTCCTTTCTCGTATTTTCCCCTCATTTTACTTCAGGCAGGCCTGATGCACTAATTTGCAGAATCTCGCTCGCCTGTTAAGAGACCCGTGCGCCGGAAGACGACCGAAATTCAGGTCAGGCATCGCGTTTATTTATGATGCAAATGCCATTGTTTTTCGAGGCCTCAACGGTCCGCGTATTATGCGCGGCTGACATCACAAAAATTTTTCTTACCTTGCCCCTCTTCTCCTCCTCTGCTGAGCTGAAAAAAAATGGCGTATGATTCAGAGAACGCGTTTATTCATCGTTCAACAATGAGGGCTTGCCCGAAAAGTCGAAACCCGCGACAACCGATCGAGGACACAGCGATCGGTACAAAAGCGTTCTGACCGAAATAGTCTGGACTACTTTCCACATGTTGGAGTCACCGCGTTTAAACACCGATTTTTTTTACGATCTCGACCGGGAATCCGCCGAGTTTCCGACGACGACGAGAATTTGAAAAGACACTTAGGCCAGTAACAACAATTTCCGGCGAGCGATACACGATCGGACGGCGGAAGAGGATGAGACGCTTCAAAGAGTCAACGATGCGCGGCAATGCGCATAGAAATTGTCCTTCGAATATTTAACCGCCGCGTATCACAACGAATCGTAATGTCCATTTGGATATCTAACGATTATATACTTCAGCCTCTACTAAATCAGTGAAGCGATTGAACGATTGATAAAATAACACACATTAAGATAATATGAAATACCTCGGGGATTGAAGCAAATATAAAAAGAGATATTGTCTTATGGTCGCTAAAAGATCAAAACGTGAACAGATGGCCAGCGATTAAGTGCACACTTAAGGAAAATCAAGGAGCGCGTTCGGTCTTTGATGACGGCGAGCGGAACGAAAGTGGCAGTCCGGCGAAGGAGATAACACTCTGAGAATAGCGTGGTAAAAATTGTGCGGCCGCTCGATTTTCTCGAGCGTCGACGATTTCTCGGCCGTGGTGGATTGTCAGAGGGACATGTCGGAGTCCCGTCACGAACGACAGATTAAGCGACCAGTTTGGATTTTCCCTTTTTCGTGCAAACTCCGAGTATGCCAGTCCACTCCCGTGCGACGATATATATCGGCTCGCGACGCCCTTTAGACAACGTCATCGGGTAGGTCCGCGTCTCGTGTGTCACCGTCGAGAACAGCGATCCGCGTTCTCTTTTTGTTGCAATCAGTTTGCGCCATGAATCGCAGCGATTCGCACAAAAATCGCGATAGTCAGCAGATGTATTAATGTATTAATTATGATCCAATTTAAATCAAACTGATTGAAATTTATCTAAATCTAAATGGATTATCCAAATAATCTCGTCAATTTCTATACATTTAACTCATATACTTTTTTAACTAAATTATATTTTGTAATTAAATAAACAAATGAAAAATTAAAAAGATATTTGAAAATTATCGGACCACTATTATAATGCAATAGAAAAGATTTAAATAATATATATTAATTAATAATATTATTGGGCGACCAAATTTGAAATATGCAAATGTAAACGCAATTGTGATCATTAATCTCATACGCGAAAAGATAGATTTGTAACATAGA